CACTGGGCACTCATGAACAACACCGGGCACCCGTGAACAACACCGGGCACCCGTGAACAAAACTGGGTACCCGTGAACAACACCGGGCACACGTGAACAACACCGGGTACACGTGAACAACACCGGACACCCGTGAACAACACCGGGCACACGTGAACAACACCGGGCACACGTGAACAACACCGGGCACACGTGAACAACACCGGACACCCGTGAACAACACTGGGCACACGTGAACAACACCGGGCACCCGTGAACAACACCGGGCACTCGTGAACAACACCGGGCACACGTGAACAACACCGGACACCCGTGAACAACACCGGGCACTCGTGAACAACACCGGGCACCCGTGAACAACACCGGGCACACGTGAACAACACCGGGCACACGTGAACAACACCGGGCACACGTGAACAACACCGGACACCCGTGAACAACACTGGGCACACGTGAACAACACCGGACACCCGTGAACAACACTGGGCACACGTGAACAACACCGGGCACCCGTGAACAACACCGGACACCCGTGAACAACACCGGGCACTCGTGAACAACACCGGGCACCCGTGAACAACACCGAGCACCCGTGAAGAAAACTGGGTACCCGTGAACAACACCGGGCACACGTGAACAACACCGAGCACCCGTGAACAAAACTGGGTACCCGTGAACAACACCGGGCACACGTGAAAGACGAGCTTCATAGCTGAGCTGTGGAGCATTCATGCGCTGCGTGAGGACATCCCCTCCCCCGTGTGAGGGTGTTTTTTGTTGTTGTTGTTGTTGTTTAGTCTGTGCGGTTGATTTACGTGGCCCTGAAGTTTTTTTTGGCGGATACAGAAAAGCCATCGATCATCCGCGACATTTGCAAGTGCGGATTTTTCTCCCCCCCCCCCCTCCACCATTCAAATTACCGCTCTTGCTTAAGGCGTGCATCGAGTATGCAAATCAGCGATAAGTGGCTGCCTTTAATTGGGTGACGAGAGCAGCGAGTGAAATGTGTTGTTGTTGTTATTGTTGTTGCTGCTGCTGAACTAATCTGTTTTCTGTGCAGGGGCTGTGTGTGTGTGTAAGAGTGTGTGTGAGTGTGTGAGTTTGTGTGAGAGTGTGGGTGAGTGTGTGAGTTTGTGTGAGAGTGTGGGTGAGTGTGTGTGAGAGTGTGTGTGAGTGTTGGTGAGTGTGTATGTGAGTGTGTGAGAGTGTGGGTGAGTGTGTGTGTGTGAGTGTGTGTGAGTGTGTGTGAGTGTCTGTGAGAGTCTGGCAAAAATAACCCCCGACCTATAATAATATGTTTTATCCCCTTTTTTCTGGCAACACAACTGAAACCTTTTTACAAAGAATCATGTTTACATTAACCACAATACGGGTTCTAGGAGCTGGTAACCTCTCCACCTTCAATGAATTTCCACTAAACCAAGTCTAAAATATCTAATCAAGCTAGTGCCGGAGGCCCCGGGTGGACAGGCGTCTAAGACGTCTCCTGGCCAAACCCCATTTGGCGGAGCCAGGAGACTGAATTCTTATCCTCGGGGCTCCTCCAGAAACAACAAAAAACCACTGTGGGTGGCCACGTGGAATGTTCGAATGCTCACTGCGGAGGAGAGGCTGCCACTCCTCTGTCGGGAGCTGGACCGGTACTGCCTGGATCTCTGTGGTATTCAGGAGGTCCGGTGGACCAGCTCTGGCTCCTGCCGCCATGAGGGGGGGAGAGTCCTCTGCTTGGGGCAGGAAACTGCCAAACAACAGTGAGTGGCTCTTCATTTGAACAAAAGAATGAAGGGGGCGTGGGAGCCTGGCGGTGAGGTGTGGGAAGTGGTAAGCCCCAGGCTACTTTGGGCTCGCCTTGCCATCAACCAGAGGCAAGAGGTGGTGGTCGTGGTTACTTATGCTCCCACCGAAGACGAGCATCCGTAGAGGGATGCAGGCAAGGCCAATGAGTCAGACGCCTTCTATGACCTCCTGTCACAGGTGCTAGTTAAAGTGGCCCCTCGGGATAGAGTAATCTTGTTGGGCGACTTCAATGCCCGAGTTGGTCATGATGCTGGCACCTGGTCTGGAGTGATTGGAAGGCATAGGCCAGATAAGCTCAATAACAACGGTAGGAGGCTGCTAGATTTTTGTGCAGCTCATGGGCTTGTCATTACAAACATTCTGTTCCGGCATCGGCGCATCCACACACCATCAAGGATGGATGCCGGGTCTAAGCAATACCATCTGCTGGACTACATAGTGATAGAACAGTGGATGCGGGCCCATGTCCTTGACACCAGGATCTACCATGGTGCTGATCTGCCCACTGACCATCGACTTGTCATCTGTAAGATGCACCTGCCATTCTTCCACTCTGGTGGTGGGTATACACCCAGGACCCCATTCAAACCCAAAGTGGCCTAGTCTCAACTAGCTGATGAAAATTGAATGCGAGAATTTCATCATCGCTTGCGGCTGGGGTTGGCATCATCCCCCACTCCTCCAGATGTCGAGGGGAAATGGGTGAGGTTTAGGACTGTGGCTCATGCAGCTGCAATGGCTGCTTTGGGTACATGGTCCAGAACTCCCAAGAGACCCTGGTTGACATAGGAGGTGTTCAGGCTGGTTGAGAAAAAGCGACAGGCCCACTCTCATCGTCTACAGCATCCAACGTCAGAAAATGAGGAGGCCTACTGCAACCTTTGCTCGGAGGTTCGGAGAGCCATGACGCGCTGCAAGGAATGGTGGTGGTCGCGGGTTGCTGAGGAGATGGGAGTCTGCCTCAATGGCCCGTGCGGTCACAAATCTCTATTTAACTCCTTCAAAAAAGTAACCTGTAGCGCCACACCTATTGCCCTCATTAGGGGAAAGAACGGTGATCCAATCTCTGATCCCCAGGAACAGGTTTTCAGATTTTTACGAGCATTTCTGTGACGTCCTGGGGGAGGGGAAACCCCTCAGCCTGGAAAACATCGTGCGACAAAGTGGGGATGACCCTGCTGAGGCTGCGGTGTCTCAAATATTTGAAGAAGAAGAAGAAGAAGAAGTCACCCACTGTGAGTGGCTGGCTGAGGTTCCATCTGTGGAGGAAATGCTGAAGGCAATCCAGAGTCTGAGAACAGGAAAGCACCGGGCAGAGATGATCTCCTAAGCAAAATTCTGAGGGAGGGTGGCGTTTGTGCATAGACTGCGCTACATGACATCATAAAAACAATCTGGACCACTGGACGGTTTCTGCAGGACTGGAAGGATGCCCTGGTGGCCCCCCTCTTTAAGAAGGGGGACCACACAGACTGTAATAATGACAGGGGCATCTCACTCCTCAGTGTGCTGGGAAAGGTCCTGGCAAGGATTATTCAACTTCGCCTTGCCAGGCACGCTGAGGAGAGGCTTGTGGAGCCCCAATGCGGTTTCAGGAAATGGCGGTTCTGCACAGATGCCATATTTTCTGTCCGTCTGCTACAACAGAGGTGTAGGGAATTCCAACAAGACCTACGTCTCTGCTTTATTGACCTGGTCAAGGCCTATGGTACCATCAGTAGGCCTGGGCTCGGGGTAGTTTTTCGTGCTTTCAGTGTCCCTGACCCGCTGCTCACAATCATTAAGGACCTTCATGATGGTGAGCGGGCCCGGGTAAAACTACGTGGCCGGGAGTCGGAGCCAATCCTTGTTCACCTTGATGTGCGACAGGGACGTCCTCTGGCTCCCACATTATTTAACATATTTCGACCACGTAGTTCGTGAAGCCTTCAATAGCTGTACCAGGGGAATTTCCATCTGCTACAGATACAATGGGAGGCTGATCGATGCCCGAGTGTGGTCAAGGGATGGCTCCCTATTGGTCAACCACGTTATGTATGCCGATGATCTGGTAATTGCTGCTCACTCATAGGAGGAGTTGGAGACGCTGCTGCTGAACCTGGAGCTTGCCACTAAGAGGTGGGTCTTAACCATCAGCCCCACCAAAACTAAGCACCTGCCTGATGGGGCAGTTGTGGAGAGAGTGGAGAGTTTCCCATACCTGGGCAGTGTGCTCAAGACCGGCTCCGGTTTGACAGCAGAGGTCTTACTCCGATTTAGTCGAGCAGCATTATCTTTACATCGGTTGCGTAACGCTGTGTGGAAGCCACCTGGTCTGTCGCTCCGCACTAAGCTTCAGGTCTTCTCGGCCACGGTCATTCCCTCCCTTCTCTACCCTTGCGAAACGTGGACCCCCTTAAATGGAGCTATCTTCGCCAGGTTAGAAACATTTAGGCTGGCCTGCCTACGATCCATCCTGCGTTTAACCAGGCTGGATTGTGTGAGGAGCTCACAAATCCTTGAAAGATCTGGGCAAGGTCCCATCGGTGAGCTCCTCCAGCAGGCAAGGCTGCGTTGGCTGGGTCATGTAGCCCGCATGCCCAGCCACCGCATGCCCAAACAGCTTTTGTTCGGCCGGATCGAGGGGGCTAAACGGGCGCAGCACGGGCTAGAGAAGAGATGGAGTGATGTGGTACAGGAGGACGTGGAGCTGAGTGGACTTGCCGATGACTGGTACCAGCGGTGTCAAGATCGGCCTCTGTGGAGGAGGCTCGTGAAGGACGCTACTGGGCAGTTGGAGGCAGTCGCCCTCCAACAACAACGGAGGGCGGAGGAGCGACGCTCACAACAACGAGCGAGCGCCGGATGGCTAAAGCACAGCAGGATTGGCACAGTAAGGGGGCACAGGTGGTGCACCAGCCAGTCATCTCAGTCAGTCGACCCGTGGCACCTGGGTCTGCCCCGTGACCTCCTGCCGGCGGGCGTTCGACACTTCACGTGGCCTCAAGGTGCACATGGCCTGGCACAAGCGTCGTGGTGACGTCACCCCCACTTAGTGGCGAATGGCGGTTGTTGTTGTATGTATGTGTGTGGGTGGTTGTGTGTGTTAATGTGTGTGTGTGTGGGTGTGTGTCTTCGAGGGTGTGTGGGGTCGGTGGAGGGTCGGGGGGGGGGGGGGGTAGGGGGGGGGGGCACGTCACAGATGCCCACTCCTGTGTCCGCAGTCCCACCCAAGATCGTTAACATTTCGAGTGACGTCGTGGTTAGCGAGGGCTCTAACGTGACCCTGGTGTGCGTGGCCACGGGCCGCCCGGACCCCGTGCTCTCCTGGCGTCACCTCTCCCAGTCCGGTGAGTTTCGCGACCCTCCCTCCCTCCCTTCCTCTCCTCCCTCGCCTCGCCTCCCTCCATCCCTCGCCTCACCTCCCTCACCTTTTAGCGAGCAGCAGCACCTATGAAGGCCGGCGGCACGGTACACGAGGGAGTCGGGTGACCAGCAGCACGCCCGGCCACTCCCAACAAAGGGGAGGGGCGGTGTTGGGGCGGGGGTGGACTTGGCAAGAAAGGGCCCTCCCACCTGGGTTACCACCTGTCCGCGTTTGCCCGGGACACTGCCGAGAATTGATTAAATTCGAATTATTCAGATGTTCCTTGAGAGCAGTGGTCCTTCCTCTTCTTCTTCTTAACCTGGGCGGTGCACGCCACCCCCTGGGGGGTGCGAGTTGCCCTTTCTGGGGGGTGCGAGACATGGACAGATTTCATTTTTTTCCTCTTCAGAAGGTAAGTACAACTACTTTGCTCCACCAAACCCCCACGTGTTCGTGAACATCGTGTGCGTTTTGTTTTTTATACTAGTGAGAGCCAAAATTGGGGCGCAGGCTGCAGTACAGGCTAAGAACCACTGCATTCAGAGGCGTCCGCGTTTCGCGAGCGTAGAGAAGAGAGGGCACATGACCGTGGCCGAGACGACGTTGAACTTTCGCGACGGAGTTCGACCGATGTGCAGCGAGACGTCGCCTGCTGAAACCGGAGCTGGGTCACAAGCGCACTGCCCCCCCCCCCCCCCCGGTGTGGACACTTCTCCACTCTCTCCACAACTGACCCCTCACTCGTGGGGAGTCGGAGGGAAGGTGGAGGTGTTTTTTGACGGGGCAGGTCCTTTGTTTGTCTAGACAAAGATTCCCCCGCGGAGTCTTTGCAGACCGTTCGCGAGTGCCTGTGGAGGTCAGCACGGCACACGAGGGGATGGGTGGCCAGCACCACACCCGGCTGCCTTTGTCTCCCCAGTGGCGATGCTTACTCATTTGAGGCTGAGTCGACCTAGGGGAGGTGTTGTTGGCCGTCTGTGGGAATCGAACCCCGCGTCGCCACGGTGTTCGTAGCGCAGCGCGCTAACCGTTGCATACGCACACACGGACAAATACCAAAGACACAGAGACAAGCACACCGCTCGTGAGATAAATTACTTTCAGTGTTTAACGACGATGATGCTGATGATTATGATGGTGGCAGTGGCGACGATGTTGACAACGACGATGACGACGATGATGTCAATGATTGTAATTGCGTAAGTGATGTTACTGACGACGGCGACGATGGCGATGATGATGATGATGATGTGAGCGAGTGAGAACCCCTTGAAAGGCAGACCCCACCAATGACAAGGCACGAATCTCTTATCTCAGAGCTTCACCCCTCGGTCTCTAGGAACCAGGTTACCAGCTGAGGCTCTAATTGCATTGCAAATAGCAATAAACAGATGAGCTACCCCGATTTACGTCGCTCTGGCCCAGTTTTACGTCGTTTTCGCGAAAATGTCGTCACTTTGATTATGAACACCACGACTCGATTCACGTCGCTTCTACCCCACCGCACTCAACGTCGTCCGTTCCTTTCTCGTCATCCCGTCGCCTCTCAGCCTTCACCACCACCACCTCCACCACCACCTCCACCACCACCACCACCTCCACCACCACCACCACCTCCACCACCACCTCCACCACCTCCACCACCACCACCACCACCACCACCTCCACCACCACCACCACCACCACCTCCACCACCACCTCCACCACCACCACCTCCACCACCACCACCACCACCTCCACCACCACCACCTCCACCACCACCTCCACCACCACCACCACCACCACCACCTCCACCACCACCTCCACCACCACCACCACCTCCACCACCACCTCCACCACCACCTCCACCACCACCACCACCACCACCACCTCCACCACCTCCACCACCACCACCACCACTTCCCACTACTACAACTACAACCCGGCAAGTCGTGTCGATGATTTACGTCGTCTCGATATTCGTCGTCGCACCTTTCAGGAACGCATCCCCGACCTAAACCGGGGTATTGCTGGACAACGCCTGCACCGTCAACTCTCCATTCAATGCATCATGGGGACTCGGGTCAGTAGACGCACGTTTGGCGGGGGGGAGGAGGGGGGGGGGCAAGGGTTGGTGGATCACGTAGAGATCTGTGAGATTTTCAAACCCACTCGGTAGCTTGATGAGTGGTGGGTGGGGGAGGGGGGTGGTGGTCGGCGGAGATAGCACTACATACAGCAAGTGGGTTCGCGACCACAATCAGTCCACGTGGCAGACCGACAGAGTGCTGAGTGATGTCCCCTCGCATGAGTGCTGGCTAGGTTTCTCGGGGTTCTGAGATTTTGCCCGTCAAGATGAAGATTTGCCCCCCCCCCCTCCCCTCCCCCTATAGCCTAATAACTTGATGGTGGAAAGTGCCGTGAGCGAGCGCCTACGAAGGCTGGCACGAGGGGCTGGGTGGCCAGAAAAACTAAGTCCCGGCCGCCTTTGTCTCTCCAGCGGAGATGTATATACGCCGCGCCACGAGGCAATTCGTCTGCCTCGATTCAGTATTTAAACACGGAAACGGCCAAACATCCCAATGTAGCAGGACCCTCCTGAATAGGAGTCTTGAGACTCAGCATCCTTCAGTGCAATAACAAGGGCAGAAATCACGTAGAATTAGTTTGGCAAAGAGGGAGGAATTGACAATGTTGTGTGTATGTAGATTCTTTCTTGCCGTACGTAGCCAACCGTGCTAATTCGAACCCTGGAATGCAACCCTAGTTTTCCCATAGAGTATTTTATTTGTAGAACGCGGTTTTAAACCCAACACGGCACTTTCCAGGAACGTAACCTCCTGCGTTTGGCATGATTTTCCCGTACAGAACAGTAAGATGAGTTTACAGGAATGCGTTTTGATTATTAAAGGGGTTCGTCTCTTACCCACTGGCTATTAACATTCGTGTAATTGTTCATATGGCAATTAAAATAAAAAAAACTCTTCAGCACAACAAAAAATGCAATTAAAATCATGCCCCACGGTTTAAAATGCAGTCTCCAACTCTTACTTATCACACCATGTCTCTCACCTCTCTGTTTATGTGAAATAAAAAAATATTTATAATACTCTTTGGTTATTTCGGTAAAGCCACGTAGGTAGAAATAAAATGAAACAAATCACGACGTTCCGATCGCAATACAAGCGACCTTCATCAGGTGGCACAACCACAGCAAGAGAATGGTGAAGTCGGCGGGAGAGCTGCCGTGGCAAGAGGTTAGAGAGGTCATAGTACCCAAAACATCAACTATTACAAAATGCCTTCCCATTTCAAGGCCACGGTGTTATCGAAGATCGTGTTGAATTTTGCCGCTCTGAAGTAGGGCCATTCCCCAGAAACGTCACCTATCATACACACCGAATTTAACATCTTTTGATTTAAAGCTTTCGCGACTGCAGTGATTCATATTCTTGGTTCTATCGGTAAAGTCACCACGTAGAAGGGAAACAATAAAAATAATAAAATATCTATATCTAAAATGCAATTAAAATCATGTCCCGAATAAAATAATATATTATTGTATTGTTTCCCTTCAACGTGACTTCACCGAAAGAACCAGAATATGAATTTAACATCTTTTATTATTATTTTATTGTTTCCCTTCAACGTGACTTTACCGAAAGAACCAAGAATATGAATTTAACATCGTTACGTGTTGAACGGCTTGTGCTGGGTTGACCGCAGTCACGCTCCGGGGTACGGCCCAATGCCCCACCCCCCCCCTCCCCGATCCACGAACGCCACGAAGGAGACATCGCAGCGGCGACGCAACTCCTCGCCCGGCCGTCTGTCTTCGCCGTCTGTCTTCGCCGCGTGCCACGCGAGGTTGACAGCAGCCGCCGCTCTGGCGTCCGCATGAGCCGCGCGCGCCAGGAGGCGAACTCCGTGAGGCCACGGCCGCACCTGCGATTATTAGCGCGGTGGGCTGCGTACGGTGCGAAAGAAGTTCGTCGCAGGTTCGCTGTCGGGAATTGACACGGGAGGCGTTGAGTCGTCGCCGTGCCGCGCTCGTGCGCCACGGACGTGCAGCAAATGGCACCAGCGGCGGCAGCAGCTGCCCTTGTTGGCATCGCAGCAGTCGTTCGTGAGACACACTGAAGACAAAGATCCCCCGTGTAGCCTGCAACGGGCTGTTGGGGCGAGTGCTGCTCGCGAGCATCCTATGAAGGCCGGCGACGGCGCACGAGGGGGCGGGTGGCCAACGCCGCGCCCGACCGCCTTTGTCTCCCCAGTGGCGACGATTTTACACACCGCACCAGGTACTCATTTGAGGCTGAGTCGACCTAGGGGAGGCTCAGGACCGGTTTCAGATAATCGTCACCGGTGTTGGCCGTGAGCGGGAATCGAACCCGGGTCGCCGAGTTCGTAGCGCAGCGTAGCGCTAACCGCTACACCCACCGCTCCCCACGCACACACAGACGGTAGACACAGCTCGCTCGCTTTGTGACCAAACACGCAATCCTCAATCCTCCTCCTTCCTCGCCTCCCCGGGTTTCACTTCGTTGGCGCGGGATATAAATGAAAGCGTCTCACATCGCTCTCTGCCCCAGGTTAGCGGGATTGCGTTGTCCTCCCACTAAAGTATGGGCCACTTAACTTCGCACTTACGCCCGCGATCGATGCCGAGGCACGTGGCTTGCATCGTGCGCTTTATTAAAACCGATAACTATCTTCCTTATAACCCGGTCCGCATCATCCATGTGTGCGCGCGTGTGCGCGCGCGTACGTGCGTGACAACGAGTTCGATTCCCGCTCACGGCCACCAACACCACCAGTGACGATTATTTGAACCGGTCCTGGGCCTCCCCTAGGTCGACTCAGCCTCAAATGAGTACCTGGTGCGGTGTGTAAAATCATCGCCACTGGGGAGACAAAAGCGATCGGGCGTGGTGCTGGCCACCCACCCCCCTCGTGTGCCGTTCCGGCCTTCAATGGGTTCTCGATAACAGCACTTGCCCCAAC